TGGGTTTTAATGTTTTTGTCTCGTCGCTCTGGCCGGGACACGGCATCACAATATGGTAAGGGGTGTAACATTTCCGTCATACGCTTGAGGAATTCGGCCAATCACAACGCACTGGATAGCTGGCCAATCACAGCACACCTCGCTTTTCAGGCCGATTAGCTTTGTAAAAATCGACGCGAAGGCGGGGCGTAGAGGAGAAACAATAATGTACAGAATGTGGAAAATAATGTGTTTGTTGAACTTTAAACCGCATAAACACATTTCATTACACCAAATACACAAAATAATGTTCTTTTTAGCAACATCATATGACCCCTTTAAAATTAATCGTAAGGACACGACACCTTGGGTCACTTGATCGTAAATGGTAAAAAATACTTCCTTAAAATGACCTTTGTTAAGGGCTTTCACAAAATATGCAGCATTGTTCCTGTGACATAACAGTTTGATATCTCCAAAAAATAGCATCATATTTACTATGGATAGAGCCCTTATGACCTCATCAAGTGACAAACTTGCATTTCAGAATTTCCCTGTTCACTATTCATTGCAATGTATGGAACATAATTCAATTATTATGTATGCAACATAAGGAATATTATAATATGTGTGGAATATTATGTATGGAACATAAGTCAATCTATTCCACATGCATAACATTTTAGAAATGTGTATGTCATGTAATTGTAATTAGTTGGAACAAAAAATGTATTGCTTTACAGTAACGAATTGCTTTTCAATTTGTTTCATCCCATTGTTTTGGGATCTTTTGTTACATTATCCTGGCATTGAAAAAAAGAGCAATGTTTCAGATTCATCTGAAGTTTCATGCCATACTTTCTGCAGCATTTCCCTAGGTGCTATTGTTTTGCAGGGTGTTTCTCATGGACCTTCATAGCCCATAATAGGCCTAACTGTTTGTAACTGTTTACCATCAAATATATGTTCTTTTGCCCATTTTTATCCTTTCTTCTCATTTAAGGCGAGACACTGCAGGTGAATAGAGTAAAAAAAATAAAATAACTAATAGTTATCACCCTACTTACCCAGTTGAATGATTACATTGATAATTGCAAACATTTTTTGTATTACAAGTTTTCTAAAATGTTATGTTTAAATATGCAAATGATGCGTTCTTTATTGAAATATGCACTAATTTACATACATTTCTAGTACAAAAATCTGAACACTGGATGAAGTCAGTTTCAACATTTTTGTTTAATTTATTTTTGACATATTAGAGTCAAATGTTTTTACAGAGGTAATTTTGGGTATCTCTTTTTTGTCACGCCATAATTCAGAAAAAAAACTTTGAACAGTCAGAAAACAATACATTTTCACAATTTTGGGGGGAATAAAATCAAGCAAATTATAAATGAACAAATCCCTCTGTAAAAACTCTGTAAAGTTTGGTGTGTGTAAGTTCTACTGAAGTGGAGATTTATGGCTCAGTGTAGGAGAAAAAACTAATTTTGAGAAAACGGCCTTTAAAAATATGTATTGTAATTGAAATCTATTGACACAAATAGATAAAGTGCTATAAAAGAAACACTTAACAGTGTCTTTTGGATGTTTCTTTCCACTAGTCTGAAAAAAAACTTTATGAAAAGCCAAAAAGCCCAAAATCTCAAAATTGACAGGTGCATGAAAAAAGTGTTTTTGCCTGCAGTGTCTCCCCTTAAAATTGCATCTCAGTGTCTTCACTGGTGCAGATAATGTTGGTGTTTAGCTTGTACTATTTAATGAAGCTTTAAACTTGATACTTAACTATATGTTAATTTGTTTTTTTATTTAATTTTTTGGCACTTTGCCTGTCCACTTCTCTCCGTGTGTTTCTAGAAGTTGAAGATCATCTGATAAATATATAAATCTCTACCATTTTCAAGTTCACTCATATTGAGTAGACTTTTCTTATTGCACCCATTAAAAAACCTCTAAACGGCTTCCACAAGCCATCAATAAAGCTTATAAGACAAAATGAGTATCTGATTTGCAGTGTTGGGGGTAACGCATTACAAGTAACGCGAGTTACGTAATCAGAGTACTTTTTTCAAGTAACTAGTAAAGTAACGCATTACTTTTTCATTTACAAGAGAATATCTGAGTTACTTTTTCAAACAAGTAACGCAAGTTACTTATTTTTTTCAAATTTATTGACAGCTCTCCTGTCCCCATGTTGAGAGAAATCAGATGTTACTGTAGTTCTAAAATAAATATGAATATGCATTAATTCATCTCACTCACAAAAAAAAAA